TTTTATAATTAATATAAATTAAAATTGTTATATGAAGGAAGGGAAAACTAAAGGTTTTTTTTGCTAAACATATTACTCAATTTTTATTAATTAAACAACAAATAGTTTATTTCAATTACTGATTAAATGTTTAAAAAAAGTCATTTCCCGAAAACTTCTTATTTTCTACAATATTAAATTATTAAATTTTCAATCTTTCATCTTTCTTATAAAAAAATTTAGAAAAAAAAGAGAAAAAAGAAATAAAAGAAAACATTTTCTTTTAAATTGTTTGTTGTTTCAATAATAAAAGGGATAGGATGTTAATGTGAAAAATAAATGAAAATTTTTCCCTATAATAACATTTTGACTAAATGATAAATTAAACGGAGAATGATGAGTTGACAATTGTCAACTGAAAAATGTAAGCTACTTTCAATTTGATTGATGCATAGTTATTTCTGGAATGCATTTTTTTTCCTTGTTTTTCTTTTTTTTTTTTAAATTCTTACAATCTGAAAATATAAAAATGATGAATAAACAAATTAGTTGTTAATTAGCAAAATTAATCAGTAACTTTTTGAATTAAACAAAAAGCAATGGTTGTCTTATTAAAGATTGAAAATGAATTAGCAAAAAAGATTTGAGATGAAATTTTAGTGAATTTTAAAATAAAAATTGAAATTGGTATATACGAAATATAATAAAGATTATAAGACTGAAGTGAAATATTAAAGAAAAAGTGCTGAAATAGAGATTAATAAGAGTGAAAGAAATTAGTAATTTTTTTGGTATTTAAGTATTTTAAATGAATTTTTGTTTTAAGAAAATGAAATAAACTGAAATATCTTAATTTCAATTTAAACACTTTACAATAATTGACTTTTTTTCGTTTGAAAAATTAAAGTGTTTAAAAAATTTGAGTAAAATTTAGATTTATATACATAATAATTAGTCAGCAATAGCTTTTTTCCATAATTGAAGCAAAAACAAAAACAAAGATTGCTTTTTTTCCTTATCATAATTATCAATTATTGATGATTATTATTATCATAATTGTCAATTATTGATAATTATTATTGCTATTATCAATAATATTTTTTTTTATTTTGATTATCGTTATCACTATTTCAAGAAATTTTTTGTTGTGAAAATGATTACATTATCATGAAATTGTTTATTTATTGCAAAAAATTTTGAATGAAATAATTGTTTCTAATTACTGTCATTAATTGAATTAAATTCAAACAATCACAAGTGCATATATAGTTAATTTCATTTTAATTGATTTTATTGATTAAAATGATTTCATTTCATCGTTTAATTTTCATTTCAACTGATTTCATTAATTTAATTCATTAATTTCACTCATTGATTTCATTTCAATGCTTAATTTCAGTTGAAATTTTAGAAGCTTTTATAAAAAAATCTGTTAAAAAAAAAGAAAAGAAGTAAAAAGTAAATCAGCATGATATTGAAATTTCAACTTTTAAATTTTATTTTTTCTTTCTGAATTCAATTTAAACCTTATTTTCATCATCACATTCAAGGATGCATACATTTGCAGTAGCATAAATTTGTCAAAAATCACTTACTTTCATTTTCTTTCCTCTTCCCTTCCTTATTTAATCCTTTTTCCCCCCCCTTTTTTTTCTTATATATTCTTAAACGGAATTGAAGAAGGAGAAATAGATGAAAGATCAGGATGAATAAATCGATTCCGGTATTCCGGTATCTCCTACCATATTTTATTTTTATTTTAATAATGCTTTTAATTTTCAATAAATTTATGCAAAAAATAAGCTTACAATTGCATACTATGAGAAATGGCATATTAAACTTGATTGCTCTTCTCGGATTTTCTCAGATACAATATTCGTCACAGATATTTTTTAGGCAAAATGCTACTCTCAGGTTCTTCCTAACTAAAATATATTTTTCGGATGATTCTCAGTCCGAATGTTACTCTCGGGTTTTTCCAAATTGAAATATACCTTTCGGATAATTCTCAGGCCGACTGTTATCCTCAGGTTTTTTCCAAGTAAAACGCTCTTTTTCCGTTTTTTTTTTGTAGAGAAATTTTTTGAAATCCAAAATTCTTCCATTATCTTTTTTAGATTCCTTTGGATTTAAAAAAAAAAAGAAAGAAAAATGATTAAAATTGGGAAGAAAAAGAAAAAGTTAGAGAAGAGAGAAAAAAGGGTGAATTTCGAAATGAAATAAAGAAAAAAATCTGTTTTCTTCTAAAGATTTTATCTGCCCATTAAACCGGAATTCCGAAATTCGATTTATTAGTTTAAATGGTTCACTATGATAACACATTTTAAATAATGCGTTTTTTTTGTTATTCAACAAAATAGTTTTTAGCCTTCTCAACTTATTCCACACATTATTTTGCATATTAAGCTTATCCTAAGCATGAAATATAGATGTTGGCCAAGAATAAAAGAGCTTTTGTTAAAGGAATATATTTGCATTCTTCTTATAGCCAACCTTTTTTCTTGGCCATGTCAACTTAAACTTTTCTTTTTCTTTTTTTTTTTGCTTATTTCTTTTTATAGTAAATATGCTAATATTCGCTATCTATTTTGCAGATTTTTTTGCAGCAAAATTGAAAATATCAAAAAAAAGGAAAAAAAACTTATTTATTGAATTTCCAATGTAATTTAAGCAGATTTTCATAAATATAACATCAGTAAATGCATGCTAATTGAGCAGTCATAGATCAATTGGCACTTTTTTTATGTGACACTTTTTTTTTCTCGTCATATTTCCTTCCTTTTCATTGATTTCATTTTCAATATCATTTTAAAATTTGTTAAACAAAAATTTTTTAAATTCAAATTTGTTGAATTTATTTTTGAAAAAATTTCAAAATGAGTTTATTTTATTTTTGATAAGATTTTAAAATTCAAAAAAAGATAAAAAATTCTGATAAGATTTTGAAAAAAAAAGTTATTGTAGAAAAAACAAAAAAAAAAAACGAAAATGCTTTAATTTGAAATTTTTTGCTCACGTACATACACTTATGGAAGTTATTTAAAAAAAAAGGGAAAAAAAAGTGTTCTAAATATTAATTTACTGTTAATTATTAAAATGTATCATTTTTAATTATCTAAGTGTAAATTTTAAAAAATTTTAAACTGAGCATTTTCTAAATTTTAATGCTAATATATTAATGCATTTGATTATAATTAGCTTTATGCTTATACGTTAACACTATAATTATCTTCATATTTACATGTAATGTTAAAAAGAAATTTCCAATTAACCTTAGCGAAATAATAAGCTTCATTAATACAAAACTGTTAAATTTGCTATTTTTATTCGTTACAACAAAATCATGGAGATTAAGTGTTAATTAACATTAAAATTTAGAAAATTCCTAGTTTAAAGTTTACTAAAATATTTAATTATGATAATTAAAAACTCTTGCAAAAAATTTTGCAATTTTATTATTTATCAAACATACGTAATTAATTGGTCATCCTTATTATCGTGATTATTATTGTTATTATCATTAAATAGGATTATTATCATTATTATCATTTTTGTTTTTGTTATTATTATCATTGTTATCATTAATCGTACGTTCACATATACGAATGATTCACATACGCTATCTCGATTTAATTTCATCGGGAATTTCAAATTCAATCAATTATTTAAACAAATTATATATTTTCGAATTCATTGCATTTGGAACATTAAATTCCCTGTATTAAAATTCTTTCAATTTCAAAATTCAAACTTCAAATTTTATACACTAGAATTAATTCTGTCCTGAAATTTAAATTTCTAATATTTATGAATATTTTTAAGAATTCAATTTCATTCTGAAAACTTTGTAATTTTTTCATGCCACTTTCGTAACACTTAAATTTGAGCTATTTTAATTTGCAGCATTCATTTCAAGAATATAAATTTTTAAATAATCAGTAGAGAAGAGCAACGAATGTAGTGACCATTGGTGACCATCTGCATAGGTGTCATTTGACCAGGTTGTTATTGGTGCTATTTTTATCATCATAAGTATTCCACTGAATGCTTTTATCGCATTATTACAAATCCTCCTCAATCATTCCGTTAATCGGATTCAACCACTTCAATCATTTCCCATTACTACTACGGATACTATCATTTGCGCTTATTATCTGGTAACTGTAATCTCTTCTCATTTTTTGAAAAACTAAAAACTAAAGAAAACAAAAACAAAATTTTATTTTCATCTTTTTTCTTTTTAAATTCATTTTATTTTGACAAAAAAAAAATTGAAATTTGAAAAACATTTCATTTTGTTCAATTATAATAATTATAATTATTTCAATTTATTGAAAAATAAGTAAAATTTACAATTTAACATATAAATCATTCCATAGTTAAGATTAAATAATTATTTGAAAATTTTAAAAAATGAAAGAAAAATTGAAAAATCAAAAAATAATACCGATCGAGAAAATGCATGAAAACTTTAATTAAAGCTATAATTATAAGTTACTAAAGATGACGTCAAAATGAAAAATTGTGATGATAATATCTTCCTCTTTTCTTTTCTTTTTTTTTTTTTTAAATGGAAATTTAAAATGCGTGAAAATTTATGCTTGATTGGAAATTCTCGCATAAAATTTCCATTGCTGTCACATTTTTTTCCAAATATCTGAAAATATCATATAACATTTCGAAAAAAAAAAAGAAAAGAAAAGAAAAAAATATGGCAAAAAAAGTGATTGCTATTTGAGAAAGAAAATGAAATTTAAATTAAAATTATTTTTATTTATAATTTTTTTTTTTTTAAAATGACATTAGCTGAAAACTGATTGATTGCTTTCCTTTTTTTTTCAAAAATTAAAAATAAACAATGCAATCATTTTTCATTTAAATGAAAACAATATATTATAAAAAAAAAAATTTCAATATTTAAAAAAATAAAATAAGCAAATTCTAATAAATTAATCATTTTAAAATTTAAAAGCTGGAAGTATTCTTTAATTAAATTTTCTTTTTCTTTTTTTTGTTTATAGTAAAACAAAAGCATCAACGGATACTGATATTATTAATAAATTGCTTGGAAAAGGATACGATTGGCGAGTACGACCACCTGGGACAAATCTTAGTATTACTGGTATTATTATGATTATTTTCAATTAAAAGAAAAGTTTATTTTTTAAATTTGAAAATTTTTCACTAATGAAACGATTTTTTTTTTTAAAGTAATATTTCAACAATCATTCAAATTAATATTACTTATTAATTGATTTTTATTTAATTAATAACTAAAACATTTTCTTTAATTTATTTTAACTTTGTCATTTTAAAGATTTTATTTTGGAAATTTGTAAATTATTTTTGAAATTGTTTATTAATTAATAAATTTCAAGGTGGTCACGGACCTGTAGTTGTTGCTGTTAACATGCTAATACGAAGGTTAATATTTCAATTATTCTTCTTGTTTTTTTTGTGATTTTTAAAATTCAATTAACAATTATTTATAGTAATTAAAATGACAAATGAAAATTCTATTCTTTTCTAGCATATCAAAAATAGATGATGTAAATATGGAATACAGTGTTCAGTTGACATTTCGAGAAAGTTGGGTAGATGGACGATTAGCATTTGGATATCCACGTGATAATACACCGGATTTTGTTATCCTTACAACCGGACAACAAATTTGGATGCCGGATTCATTTTTTCAGGTTATAATAAAATTATTATTTTCAATTAGTAATTTTAATAAAGAAAAAAACAAATCACTGAATAATGAGTCTGCAAATTTTTTAACATTATCGATAATTTATATCAGTAAAAATATGACATCATAATTCGCGAATGCTCTGATAACATTTGAAATGATAATTAATAACGCAATTATTATTTATGAATGCTAAAAAGAATTTGTCGTCTATTCTATAACTTACTAGCTTACCGTATGATATTGGAAATGGTGATAATTAAAAAAATAATTATCATCTATGAATGCTAACAAAAATATAATTATCATGCAAAATATAACTTATAATTTACTAATTTACTGCGGATATTTCAAAATCGATATTGAAAATTGAAATCAAATTCTATTATGGATAAAATTTTTAAATTTTTTTATTAACAAAAAAAAAATTAGAAAATTTAATTCATAGAATGAAAAACATGCTCAACGCCATATGATTGATAAGCCGAATGTTCTTATTCGTATACATAAAGATGGTACAATATTGTATAGCGTTAGGATATCACTTGTATTATCATGTCCAATGCATTTACAGGTTCCATTTTTTTAAATTTATTTTATAATAAATTTTAAAAAATAAAATTAAATTTTTTGTATTTTCAAAAGTATTTTTTAATACTAAAACAGTTTTTAAACAGTATTTTTGAAACATTTTCAAACATTAATCTTTCTTCCTTTTTCTTTTCAAATTTGGTCAATTTGAATATAAATAAATGATTTAAAAAAAAAATTGAAATATTTTTTATACTTTTCCTTTACTTAAATTTTATCCTTTGCTTTCTTTTTTTTTTTTGTTATTTTTCAAATAATTATAGCAATATTTTTTATAATTTATAATCAAAAATAACGAAAATTTCCATATTATCAGTTTTCTCTTTCCCCTCTCTCTCTTTCCCTCTCTCTCTCTCTCTTTCTCCTCCCTCTGCTGTCAATTATTTTAACCCCACACATTATAATAATGCATTGAAAAGATATATAATGCAATTATTTTACTGGAAATTATTTTTTGTAAAATCATTTCATAATAAATTGTCTTTTGTATTTGTTCAGAATAAATTGAATTCATTTATGCATCAAAAAATTTTAGAGAAAAATTTAAAAGTTTAAAAAAAATATTTCATATGCCTTAACTGGATTCATTAATGATTCATTAATCGTTCTAACAATTAATTTGCCTTAATTAGCCGTTATTTAGATAATAACATAAATTAATCAAGAAATAATGAACATAAATGAAAATTTGATTACAGCAGTAACAAATTCGATTAATATTTTCAATTTTTATTACCTGGAATATTGATATTTTAAAAATTTTATCAAATTTGACGAATAATTTATTGTTTGCTTATAAAGAAAATTATTTATTGGAGAATTATTTTTAATGAAATACGGCAGAATTTGCAGAATATTTTAATTTTTTTTTTTAAAAATTAATCTTTCAATGCGAAAAAATATTTCATAAATATTTTGTTAAATTGTAAAATTAAAATTTTAGAATTTTTTCTTTGTGTAAATTTTCAAAACAACAACAATAATAATGTTAATAGTAATAATATTGATAATTATTTGATTATTATTACAGTATTATCCAATGGATATTCAAACGTGCCTTATTGATCTCGCTTCATATGCATATACAACAGATGATATAGGTAAGTATGATATAATAGATTAACTTAAATTTAGTATTTAGAATAAATTTAATTAATAAACAAGTAAGGTTAAGTAAAAATTTGATTGTAGTAATCTAAAATTTAGTTAATTCGTTTTAATTTTAATAATTATAATATATATTATAATTTATTCGAATTTTTTTTAAACAAGAAAAAATTAGGATAAAATTTTTCAAAAATATCACACAAAATTTTTTCTTATTCATTATTTTCATTACAGAAAATGATAAGTTTTCTTAATTAATTACAAAAAAAAAATAGCAAAAATTAATTTCGATCAATAAATACGTATATACTTATATATAAATTTATGCTTCATATATTAGTAAAAGTAGTACATTTTGTAAGTAAAATTACAATATGAATATTTTATAGCTCATAAGTTTCATCTAATTAATGTGTAAAATAAATTAGTAATACTGTTGAAATTAAATATTTCATTCCTTTTCTTTTAAATGCTTTTTAAACTATTTTTTATAAATAATTAAAAATATTGAACAGAAAAAAAAATATTAAATCAAATTATTCTTTAGAATATGTTTGGGAGAGTAAAGATCCAGTTCAATTAAAAGATGGTTTACATTCATCGTTACCAAGTTTTCAACTTAGTAATGTTACGACAACATTTTGTACAAGTAAAACAAATACTGGAACATATTCATGTTTACGTATTGTATTAGAATTAAGACGACAATTCAGGTTAATTTATTTTCAAATTTTGATTTCAAATTTTTGAAGAAAGAAAAGGAAAACAATAAAAATAAACTTTGAAAATTTGATAAGAAATTTAAAAAAAATGCCACGATTATGTTTAGCTATAATTTGATTAGAATTTATTTTCGTGACAATTCAATTAAAATTATTTATTAATTTAATTACCTTGTAATAAACCTAAATCTAAGTAGAAAAAATCATCCATATATGCGTCAATATAAATTAATATTCAAGAGATAATTTATTCATATTAAAACTGAAATTTAAATTGTCAACTTAACTAAAAAAAATAAAATTAAATTTTAGCTATTATTTATTGCAATTATATGCGCCAAGTTTGATGCTTGTTATTGTTTCCTGGGTATCATTTTGGTTAGATCGTACCGCTGTACCAGCTCGTGTCACATTAGGTGTCACCACTTTTCTCACTATGACCACTCAGGTTATAATTTCGTCATTTCCTTTTTTTTTTGGATTGCTTATCTTATACAAAAATGAATCTGAAATTTCAATATATTACTTTCGAATATCAATACTGCTTAGCTTTAATTTTCAACTAAAAATAGCACAAGTCATTTCTTAATTAATTAATTAAATTCACTAATAATCACACAATAATTTTATATGACTTTTTGTTTGCTGAAAATTCAAAAAATTCGTGAAATTTAATTACTTTAACCCAATTTTCAAGGAAAAGCTGTACAAAAAAAAATTTTTAAAAAGTGTTCCTCCAAGCATATTTTAGTAGATTACTAAAAATTAATTCCTAAAAATTAATTTTTAATTGTTTGATAGCCAAACGGTCACTATGTCACTCGATTTAATCAATAAAAGAAAAAGTGTCAATCCATTTATAGCATATCTTTTAGAGGTGGAAAATTTTATTTACCAAAGAAGATATGCAAGAATTTTCATGTAACAAATTAATTTTCAAATTTTTAAAATTTTGAAATGCTGAACAAATCCATCATTGATCAGTACTATTCAAAAAAATTTTTCTGATTTTCAGGCTTCCGGAATTAATGCCAAATTGCCACCTGTGTCGTATACAAAAGCTATAGATGTATGGATTGGTGGTAAATGATTAATTAACTAATTCATTTCAAAAATTTCGAAAGCATCTATTATCATAATTTTCGATTATAAAATAACAAAGTTTTGCTTAATTTAATTAGTTAAAGATTTTTTTTTTCCAAAATTTCCTTCAAAATATCCAATGTAGAATTTTTTTTTTAAACAAAATTATTGATTCAAATAAGGCTTGCATCATTAATCATTTAAAATTTGATTTTAGCAAATTTAACGAATTTTAATTCATAATTTGATATTATCAAATTTATTTGATCATTTGGTAATTTTGAGAAAATGATTGGTATAAGTTAATGATATGTATGGGACAATTTCATATGACAATTATTATATGAAAATATTTCAATGATACTGTATGATATCGTTTAGTAAAACTGTAAAATAGTTTCATTCATCAATTTCTTTCATTCTTTCGTTTTTTTTTGATTTCTTACATTTATTTAGACAATATAACCAATAAAAATTCTTCTTTATCTAATTATTGAGGAATTTTCATTATTTCAAATTTTTCATTTTTATCTTCATCCTCGATATTTCTCTTTTCTTTTATTATCTAGTTATACGAAGAATTATCATTATTTCAAACTTTTCATTTTTATCTTCATCCTTCATATCACTCTTTTCTTCAATCTCTTTCTCCCTCTTTCTCTCTCTTTCCCTTTCTTTTTTACCACTGAATCTAATTTTTTATTAATAAAATTGCAAGAAAAAAAAACAAAGAATAGAAAAACTATAATTAATTATAGCATGTCTCACTTTTATTTTTGGAGCATTATTGGAATTTGCTTGGGTCACATATATGTCATCACGGATTCACAGCAAAAGTTTGTTTTGTAATTTGAATTTCAAATTTATTTATTGATTACATGTATAACTATATTGTACACTTATTAATTTTTAATTTTAAATTGAAAAATCAAATTTCAAACTCGCTTGTTAATTATTTTTGTCAATTATATTATGCGCTTATTCTAAAATGTTTGCTAAATTTTAAAAAAAAACAATTAATTAAGTACATATTTCATCATTTACTATCTCACTACTTCATTGTGCTTAATTAATTAATAATTGAAAGGAAAATATTTCGGTTGTGTAAAAATATAATTGCTACAACCAATTTTAAATATTGTAAGAAATTTTCTATAAGTTAATGTTATAATTACTAATATTGTAACTATGTGTTTTTAAGTAGTGAGGTGAATGATTAATATAATTAATTAAATATAATATAATTGATTAAATGATCAAATGTCAACTTAATGGTGATATATAATAGTAATTTTGAAAAGGTGATAATATTGACAATGCCGATAATGAAGAATTTAAATTAAAAATTAATTCTAAAAAGTATGACATACATTCTACTAACACTGTTAAAACTAATAAAAAAAATTTGCAAATTTTCGATTTTATTTTTAAAAATTATAATCTATATAAAAAAGAAGTGACACTGGATGCAATAAAAACGACTAATTAATTATTTGATTAATTAATTAATTAACTAATTAATAGGTATGAAAGGAAATAAAAAGCCGAATTTATTGATGGAACGAGCTAATCAAATGGCATCAACACAACTTATCATTTTTAATAAAAATGCGGTAAAGTGTACCTCAAATTCGAACAATTGTTATCATTTCCTTTTTTTTTCTTGGTTTTTTGATTTTGATTTTAAGTTAAGTGAGAATTATTTAGTTCAGAAATCTGGACAGTTAAAATTTTCAGTTATTTCATTGAAATTATTTGTTATGCCAAAAAGTATATAAATTTTATTGTTGACAAAAAAAGAGAAACAGTTTAACTTGACAATTAAATTGAATTATTAACTTGATAATCTAATTGGATGAATCTTGATAATTTACTAAGCTGACAATTTAAATGAATAAAAAATTTATGATAACAACGTAATTATCTAATTCACCTTGGAAGTAAATGTTAATTGTTTCATATTCGAAGTAAATATTAATTAAAAAAAATTCGTATCCAACCCTTTTTTTTCTAATTGATGTTTAAAATTAATTTTTAAATAAATGCTTGAAATAGGTAATTCAAATGTCAATTAGATGTTAAAAAAATGAAGTTTAATTATTCTGTTACAGATGGAATGTGGTGAAATATGGGTGAAGCAAAGGAATGATTCAGATGATGAAAATATTGAACGTTTCAGTACGGTAAATGATCGTAATAAGTGGCGACGAATTCGACGCAAACGTCAAACGTTGAAAGAGTATTGTCGTCAAATTAGATTTATTGCTTGGTTAAGAAGCCAATTTCATACCACTGATCGTGCTAAACAAGCTGATTATTTGTCAAGTTTGTATTTAATATGTGAAACGAAGAAATCAATGATTCCCATTTCAAATTTTTTAAATTCTTTTTTTTGAAAACTTTGGGAAAGCAATTAAGCTGCAAATAAAATAGTCCTTTTGCTCATTTGTTTGATGTCAAATAAAAGTTAGAATGATTTGAAATTATCAGCAAGAAAGGATATGATGAAAGGCTATTATTACTTTTTTTTTAAATTCTAATGATATGTTGTGCATTATTTATTACTATTATTATTATTTATTATTATTATTATTATTATTATTATTATTATTATTATTATTATTATTATTATTATTATTATTATTA